GGGGGGGGGGGTCACAAATGGCACTGTCAGGGCAGGATTTGGGTCAGGGAGTTATCAGAGTCTGAAATTAATACGAAGAGATTTATAAAGAGCGTAAAATCACTCTTGCTTATGTGTTTTCTGCTGCTGGTGTTAGATCACCATAAGACAGCCTTAAAAGCAAATGGGACAGGACAGAAAACCATTGTGCGACTGCAGTGGCCCCAAAGCCAAGGAGACTTGCTGAGCCGGCGGGCACAAGCAGACCCGTTTTCAAGCCTGCCTTTGTCTGTTCTTAGAAAAGCAAGGTATCTGAGACCCGCCCACTCTGACCCAGCCCCCTGCCACCTGCTCCTTGTCTTTCGCAGTCACTACTTTCCTGGCTGACCCTGGGAGCTGAGGACTTCAAGACGGGGGAGCTGAGGCGTTTTCCTGGGAGCCTGCTGAAAGGCTCCCACTTTTCACTGCACCCCCCAAGCTCATAAGGCCCTGGGCTCTCCTGGATTGCTTCCATCACACCACGCAGCTTAGCGAGTTTTGAATCCGTTTTCTCAAGGGCCGCGTTAGGGCAGCTTTTCAAAGTGTGAGGTGTATACGAGGGGGCCTCTAGGTGACTTGAGGGGGCCAGGGGTCAACATTTGTAGTTTCATAACTACGTATTTATTTGCATATGCATTCGGAAAAAAATTCAACCGGCACAAGCACGTGATTTCTATAGCGCTGCGTTAGACTGAGGCTAAAGGGAACATCAGAGATTTCAAAGTGCATCAATTGGAAGAACAATCAAGGAATATTAGAGGTGGTATCTTGAGGGACAAAGCCCTTAAATGGCACTCCTGTTCCCTCTTCACGCCCCAGCCTTCCTGGCAGGAATCTGGCGGGTGAGGCTCTCCCCACCTCAGCTTCCCAGCTTCCCCTCCGTGTGTGCAAATGTCTCCCAGGTGCATCGGGGAATCGCTCAAAAGAGAGACATCAAGAGGGCCTTTTCGACCAATACTGATAAACCGCGGAGCTTTGATTCTTCAAACGATCCACATGGTGCCTTCTTCTCCATGCGACCCCTTCTTTTATTTCACTTGGCTCCATTAACCTTTCCCAGCTAATGGTTCTCTATCCCAGCTACAACTCTAAATACCTCAGAGTGAGCCTGCGACACTCTTCCAGGAGGCTCTGGCCACCATGCGCCTCCGAGAAGCCAGGTACATGATGATGCTTTAAAATAAAGGTTATGAGCTATTAGCTGACTAAGCAATCCATCACCCGCTGGAGCTGTGAAGGCAACATCTCCCTAATCTAGGTGAAGATCCTGGGTTTCTCTTATTTCTTTTCTCTCCCTCAGGAGGGCGTCTGTCTAGGGATAATGACTGGAGGGGCTATATGGAGCACCCAGGGGCCACTGTGCACTGGGTCATGGGGAAGACCCTCAGAAGACGGATGTCTACGGAAGGAAAATTGCCACACATTTTCCACAGATAGAATTATGGTTGGTTATTCATGAATTTTATTCATTCAACTGTTTCAAAGTGACAAGTTCAATTATGCTTTGCCCAATGCAGATACATTGCTCTTCCCTTGTTCCAACTCAGTTTTAGGAGCTTAATTTCAGAGTCGCCATCAAATAGATAGTAAGTAGCAATCATGAGGAGCCATCTCTCTGTATTTAACAACCAAAAAGCGTTGGGTGGTACGCTTAAATAAAACAATCTGGTCTTTACTCGTATCAATTTTTAATTATGTTGTTTGGATTTTGATTAATTACATTGTTGGGAGGAACTCCATCTCTGAATTCAGGTAACAACTCTGGGCATTTGAATGTATTTGTTAATTAGTGATTTTTATTTTCTGAGTTAAAATTTTTTTTAATTTTTATTTATTTTTGAGAGAGAGAGAGAGAGAGAGAGAGCGAGAGAGAGCGGGGGAGGGGCAGAGAGAGAGGGAAACAGAGAGACACAGAATCGGAAGCAGGCTCCAGGCTCTGAGCTGTCAGCACGGAGCCTGATGCGGGGCTCGAACCCACAAACTGTGAGATCATGACCCGAGCCGAAGTCAGATGCCCAACTGACTGAGCCACCAGGCACCCCCAAAGCAATTCATTTTAAAATGAGTCATATTTAATATGCACCTCACCAAAGAAGAGAGAAACGGTACATAGCGAAATGTTAACACTGGTTATCTCCAGCTGGAAGGATTATGCAACAATGCGATAAGACTGAAGCCTTTTAAGAAACGGAGCATAGTAACTAGAGAAATGAAAAACAGATGTAGAATTCACCCAATTTTTGTCACTGAGCCAAAGTAACAAATTTTGATTTTAAAAAACTTTCACGCCAGAGATGTACCCCACACGCGAATGAATGAAAGCCCTGCATACTATTCTGTTCCTGAAATTTCTACTCATTCCTTTGGACTCATTTGTATTTTTACATACTGAGGAAAGATTTTAAATATAGCATACCCGGAGTCGAATCGAAAGTGGAAAAAAAATCCTAAAATTGTAACAATCCAGAAAAGAAATTGACAAGTACGTAAAAAACTTTATTTTTGTGCTTGCTTTCTCGATTTTTAACTAATTTGCAGATGACCACCAACCTACCTCAAGAGAGTAGTAGGATGACGTATTTCGACTTTGAAATGAGTGCATGACAGGTTACAGAAGACCGTTTTTCCTAATTGCTTCTAAAATAGGGCTGCGAAAGTGGTTTTAATTTGGACTATTTTTTTTTTAATGTTTACTCATTTTTGAGAGACAGAGACAGAGCACGAATGGGGGAGGGGCAGAGAGAGAGGGAGACAGAATCCGAAGCAGTCTCCAGGCTCCAGGCTCCAAGCTGTCAGCACAGAGCCTGATGCGGGGCTTGAACTCACGAACCTCCAGATGGCCGAAGTCAGTCACCCAACTGACTGAGCTGCCCAGGTGCCCCTAATTTGGACTACTTTTAACTGTAATTTTGACTTACACTTTGGTGGCGTAGTTTATCATTTGATGGAACATGATCTGAAAGCCAGTCCCCTGAGAGTGCTTAATTGTTGAGGCTAACGATAAGAATTGCCAAAACACTTCAAACATTATTGGGTGTTTTGCTGCAGCATCTGGACATTACAAAATATATTCATTTTTAAGTACACAGGTTTTCACCAAAGTTATCCCCAGCTCAGAAACAAAGCATAGGAAAACAGCAAGGATGTGAAGGCATCGTCTGTTTGTTCAGGTTTGCAAAGCACAGAGTTCGTTCTGTGTGATGCTGCAGTTTGCTTTTGTGTAATGAGCACTCGGGAATCCATTTTCAAGCAAAAACCTATCTTACGTCTCTCCCGCTAATGCGAAGGCATAGTGTTACTTTGCAAACACTTAAGACAACCGATGAAATTGGAATCGCCAGGCTCGTTTCCACCTGGCCTGTGAACTTAGTCACTGGGAGGATTGCTCTTCTTACATGAGGTTTAAACTGGCTTCAAAAAGAGTCCGCTTGGGGCCCCTGGGTGGCGCAGTCGGTTAAGCCAGGTCACGATCTCGCGGTCCGTGAGTTCGAGCCCCGCGTCGGGCTCTGGGCTGACGGCTCAGAGCCTGGAGCCTGTTTCCGATTCTGTGTCTCCCTCTCTCTCTGCCCCTTCCCCGTTCATGCTCTGTCTCTCTCTGTCCCAAAAATAAATAAATGTTGAAAAAAAAATTAAAAAAAAAAAAAGAGTCCGCTTTTCCCGGTAAGGAGCAGATGCTGAATCCCTAGGAGTGCTACAATGAAGGTAAATAAATGGATTCACATCCTTAAATTATTTTTAAATTGTGAAACATTTCAAACATGAAGATGGGAATACGCGACAGCATGATCCGCCTGTGAGCCTCCCCCCTCCCTCGCTTTTTCAAGCGAAGAGGCAGCCATGGTATTTAGGCTCCAGAAGTCAGCACGGGTGGTCATTTATCCGCTGGCCCCTCTCCGTGGTGTGGGGTCTTCCTTTAGCTCCCAGCTCCGGGTGTGTCTTTCCTGCTGTGACAAACTTTACCAGCTTTTCCTGGAGGAGTCCCTGCGGGCATCCCAGCCGGAGGCAGGGAGAGACTGATGCAAGTTCCAGTCTGTTCTCTCGGGGGCCAGCTTGTCCTCGCTCTCCACCATTCTCCCTACCCAGCTTCCTGGCTGCAGACTCCAAACTTCAGCGTCCACGGAGGCAGTCGCCTTACAGAGACTGTTTAACCGGCTCTCGCTAGCACCTGTAGAAGAGACAGGCCTATACAGGTAGTTCCTGCTCCTCAAAAGTTCACGTTACGCCGCCTCCCTTTTACAATAAGACCTGCATTAGTACGTGGTTTCACTAAGTGAAAGAAAGCCAAAGTCGCTTTCGCTTTGACAAAGAAAGGGGAAACCCAAAAAGAGCGTTCTGCGTTGGTTTTGCCGAGAGAGCTATTACAGAGGCAGGACGGATCTTCTGGATACTTCAGCTCAAAGTCTGGACCCTTTAGCAGCCTCTCCCCGTGTCCCTCGCTCCCTAATCCCTGGCTACCACCGTTCTACTCCCTTTCTATGAGGTTTTGTTTGTTTTCTAAGATTCCATATGTAAACGATGGCATGCAGTGTTTGGTTTATTTCACTTAGCATCATGTCCTTCTGGTTCGTCCATGTTGTCCTAAACCACAGGATTTCCTTTCTTTCTCACGGTGGAATAATGTTCTATCGTATGCACCTGTGCCACATTTTGTCTATTCATTCTTCCGTTGGGTTGTTTCTCTACCTTGGCTATTGAGAATAATGTCACAATGAAGACGGAGTGTAGAGATCTCTAGATAAGGATTTCATTTTCCCTGGATATGTTCCCAGAAGTGGGATCGCTGGTTCATATGGTAGTTCTATTTTTAATTTTTCCCAGTACCCTCCAAACTGTTTTCCATAGTGGCTGCACCAATTTACGTTCCCATCATCAGTGTACAAGGGTTCCCTTTTCTCCGTGTTCTGGACAGCTTTTTAAAAATTTTTTGTCCTTTAGAAAAACCGACCTTGGGGTGCCTGGGTGGCTCAGTCAGGTGAGCGTCCGACTTCAGCTCAGGTCATGATCTCACTGTCCGTGAGTCTGAGCCCCGCGTGGGGCTCTGCGCTGACAGCTCAGAGCCTGGAGCCTGTTTCAGATTCTGTGTCTCCCTCTCTCTCTGCCCCTCCCCTGCTCATGGTCTCTGTCTCTGTCTCTCTCTCTCTCTCTGTCAAAAATAAATAAACATTAAAAAAAAAAAAAAAAGAAAAGAAAAGAAAAACTGACCTAACAGGTGTGAGGTGACATCTCTTTGCGGTTTGGATTTGCATTTGCCTGATGATTGATTACTGATGTCGTGCATGTTTTCACGTACCTTTGACCTTTTTCTTTGGACAAATGTCTATTTGGACAAATGTCTATTTGGACACGTCTTGGCCCATTTTTCAATTGGGTTGTTTGAGTCTTTTTGTATTGAGTTGCATGAGTTCCTTGATATTTTTCAGATTCACCCTTATCAGATATGTGGTTTGCAGGTATTTTCTCCACTTGTTTGCTTTTGCTCTGGTTGCTTTTGCTTTCGGTGTCAAATCTAAAAAATCATTGCTGAGACCAATGTCAAGGCGCTTAACCTCTTTTTCTTCTAGGAGTTTTACTGTTCCAGTCTTTACATCCAAGTTAAGTCTTTAATTTTGCATTCAAGTTTTATTTTTTTTAATTTTTTTTAACGTTTATTTATTTTTGAGACAGAGAGAGACAGAGCATGAATGGGGGAGGGTCAGAGAGAGAGGGGGACACAGAATCTGAAACAGGCTCCAGGCTCTGAGCAGTCAGCACAGAGCCCGACATGGGGCTCGAACTCACATACCGCGAGATCATGACCTGAGCCGAAGTCGGACGCTCAACCGACTGAGCCACCTAGGCGCCCCTGCATTCAAGTTTTAACCCATTTTGAGTTGATTTTTGTGTCTGATATTAAATAGATCTAGTTTAATTCTTTTGTGTGGGGCTGTCCTGCTTCCCCATCACTGTTTACTGGAGAGACTGTACTATCCCCATCGTATATTCCTGGCTCCTTTGCTGCAAATTAATTGACCATATATGGGTTTATGTCTGGGCTCTCTGTTCTGTTCCATTTGATCCATGTGTGTTTCATGCCAATACTAGACTGTTTTGATTACTACAGCTTTTTAAAATCGTTTGAAAAAAACTTTGGAATACAGTTTAAATTCTCTAATTGGTCTGTTCAGATTTGCTATTTCTTCATCATTTAGTCTTAGGTTATACGTTTCTAGCAACTTTTCCATTTCTTTTTCTTTTTTTTTTTTCATTTATTTTTGAGAGACAGAGCATGAGTGGGGAGGGGCAGAGAGAGAAGGAGACAGAATCCAAAGCAGGCTCCAGGCTCTGAGCTGCCAGCACAGAGCCCGACACGGGGCTCAAACCCATGAACTGTGAGATCATGACCTGAGCCGAAGTTGGATGCTTAACTGACTGAGCCACCCAGGCGTCCCTTTATTTCCATTTTTATTTCTCCTTTGACCCAGTGGTTCCTCAGGAGCATGTTGTTTAATCACCTATTTGGGAATTTTCCAGTCTTCTTGTAGCTGATTTCTCCTTTCAATGTCCTTTGTGGTCAGAGAAGATGCTTGATAGGATTTTAACCTTTTTAATTTTGTTAAGATTTGTTTTGTGCTCTGGGGCGCCTGGGTGGCTCAGTTGGTTAAGCATCTGAGTCTTGATTTTGGGTCAGGTCATGATCCCGAGGTTTGTGAGGTTGAGCCCCGACTTGGGCTCTGTGCTGACAGCATGTGGCCTGCTTCGGATTCTGGGTCTCCCTCTCTTTGTCTCTCCTCTGTGTGTGCCTCTCTGTCTCTCTCTCTCTCAAAATAAACATTAAAAAGAAAACTTGTTTTGTGCTCTAACGTGATCTATCATGTTAGAAAATGTGTGGGCTTGCGAAGAATGAGAATTCTGCTCTTGGGTGGCATGGTCTATAAATGTTTGTTGGAGATATTTGCTTTAACTTGTGTTTTATGTCCGATCTTTCCTTCTTGATCCTCTGGAGGGGGGATGAGTGAACTCAAAGACGGGCAGTGGAATTCATCCAGAGGAACCAGCTCTCTCTCTGAGCCGAGCCCAGGAGTATAGCCACTGGAGGGCGCCCTTGGCCTATGTTTGCTATGGTGCTGTGGGGCTCATGTGTCTGTTGGCTATCAGAACCAGGTAATTTGGGGGCCTATCTCTTGGGGAGTGCCTGTAAATGTTGGGGCACCATATGTGTGGATAAGCTCCTTCCAGAGAGATACCGGGAGACGTGGTTTTATTCTCGAAGTGAACCAGAGGGAGAAATCCGGTGTGTTACCAACCAGCTATTTTGGGCTCCAGGAAGGATTGCAGCCAGCCCCTAAATGTGTGCTAAATTAGAAGCCAGACCCTCAGGCAGCAGCTTGCAAAGTAACAGCCAAATCCCTTCCAGGGAAAGACTGATAGGCATTTTGCCTGCTCCCCCTGCACTGAGCTTTGGGGGGATAGTCTTGGTGAGTGCTTCCGGGCTCATTAAGATCTGCTTCTTTGTTTCTTATAGTCCTGTTGGTCTAGTAACAGCATGGGCTTTCAAAGTTAGATGTTTTGGGGGTAGGGCTGCAGATGGGAGTCTTAAAAGTTGGGGTGCTAAATGTGCAGTCCAAACCCAGGAAGAGGCTAGGAGTTGAGGGTTCTGTCCGAACTGTGCCGGGGTGGGGGATGTAGCTGGCGAGAGTGTGTCTCAGCCTTTCCTACCCATTTTGACTTGGATATTTCCTCTTTCGACTGGTGTGTGGGAGTCACTCGGCTGGTTACTGGGTTTCTTCTCTCAGAAGGAATTGCTCTGTGTAGCTGTATATTCAGTGTTGTGGGAGGAGAGACGTTCAGGGGCCTCTATGTGGGTTCCTCTCTGTGAGTTCCCCAATTATTTGTGCAAAAGGTCTAATCTTTTTAATGTTTATTTGAGAGAGAGAGAGAGAGAATGAATGAGCTGGGGAGGGGCAGAGAGAGGGAGACACAGAATCCAAAGCAGGCTCCAGGCTCAAAGCTGTCAGCACAGAGCCCGATGTGGGGCTTGAACTCACAAACTATGAGATCATGACCTGAGCCGAAGTCGGATGCTTAACTGACTGAGCCACCCAGGTGCCCCCAAAAGATGTAATCTTCTATTTCTGTAACTGAACTTAGTTTGGACTCCCCATCGTGCAGGTGATAGAATAACCCAGAATTAAGTCAGGCAGTTTGGCCTCCTTCTCTCCCTTCGACCACTAAGTCCTCCTCGTTCCTCTCTAGTCTTGTGGCCTTGACCTACCCCTCTAGATCCACTTGACCTACCCCTCAAGGCCACAGCTACTTCCACTTGGTCCTGACCTTAAGGCCTCTCGGGTCTGGCTTTCTCTGGATTCTGTATATTAGTATTTGGGTACGTCCTGCGCCAAGTACAGCCTACTGCCTGGACGCTCATGAGGATATGGTACAGCCGCAGCACCATGCTTGACGCAGAGGGAAACTCCAAGGCTTGCTACCTCCTCGCTTCACAAGGAAGCAAGGACACACCCTCTCCACTCTGCGGTCTCCAAACATACCTAGGTGTGCATCCTCCCCATTCCACCCCCCTGGCACCCAGGTCTGCCCTCCCGACAGTGAGAGAGGGGGCTGCCAAGGTCTACGCTGTTTTGCTCCCTTGCCTTTTGAAACTGAGAAAGCACTTTGATTTCTGGAGTTTTGTTGGTTTCCTTTTGGTTTTGTATCCTTTCTTTCCCGTGGCAATGATTTCAATGAGTTGAATGCGTGCAGAGGAGGCAAAGCATACAAGGAAGTAGAAGTGTGCTGGGAAGAAAGCTTGACTAACACTGTTAAGTGCCCTCGTGCCACATTTATACAGTCTTTGTACTTTACAAGGTGCTCTCGTTTGTATCGTCCAGTGTTATTCTGCAGTAACCCTGTGAGGCAGGTACCGACCTTATTTTGCCAAGGAGGAAACGGAGATTAAAGAAGTGAGGAGTCAAAGGTCATTCAGCTGGGAAACGGCGAAACCCAGAACTAAAATTCAGGGCTTCCAACTTAAGCCCTGGGCTCTTTCTTTTTTTTTTTTTT